GCCATTGAGATGGCCAGGCTAGCCCACTTTACATAATAAAGAGTTCTCCACTTCAGCTCCAGGGGCATGGCATTAAGGCATGATAATATTGGCACTTTACCCAACTCACCACATGGCATCTGAGAACTCAACCAAACCTGGATTCAAAACGCTGCCTTTGCCCTTGCATGGACCCATGGGAGTCTGACAACCAATCAGAATACAAGATCAAGATCAAAGGCCAGAGAGGGCATAAAACCAGGGACTCAGCTTCTCTCCCCTCTTTCTCTTTTTCTCCACCGACATTGAAGCATGTGATCACCTTTTCTGTTCAGGGCTCAAGCCATGTGGTCCTGTCCACCAATAAACCATCTTCCCAAGCAGCCTCCATGTCTCCAGTGTCTTTTTCCCCACTTGGAGCCGAACCCAGAAGGACATTTCTTTCATCAGTCTCGTCTTGTGGGATTTTGTTTTCTTTTACTTGCAGGTTTAGCTAAGCAGCACAGTATTTCCCATTGGTGCCCCATCCCTGCTTAACAATGGAAAGTTTGGCACCAATTGCTGTTCCAATCTTAAGAGCCATCTATATTTCTTTTCCAACCTCAGGAGCCGAACGGAAGAGTCATTCCCCTCCTTCTGGTCAGTTGGCTGGCTTTACCTTCAACAGCAGTTTGTAATGCCTAAGAAAATCAGGAGAGGTTTTCCAGGCAGAGGAGTTCAATCTTTTGGTGTTAATACAATTTTTAAGTTAATCATTGATTTGGAGCTGGCTAGAACATGTTATAACAGGGACGGCTACATAAATATTTTAAAGAAATCAGAAGAAAAAGAGATGAATCCAGAAAACGGCCCTGCTGAGGCTGCCCGTCTATGAACTGCTTGAGACACTGAAGTTCTATTGCTTTAATTATCAATTTGATATTTCACTAATCCTGAGGTTAACTTCTGCAATTTAATTCCTTGATTACCAACTGGCACCTGACATGAACATAGCTAATAAATCCAGAAGGCCTGGTGAACTTCTAATCTGAACAAAAACTAGAATCACCTTTTGGGGGACTCCCTGACCATCAAAATTCTATCAACCTTGGTAGATGTGCCCTATATTTTGCAGGGCAAGTACATATTAATGGTGGATGCTTTGCATTTTGCCATGGAGTTGATTAGTCAGTATTAAGGTTTTATTAAACAGCTCAGAGAGGGCTATCAAGCACTGTGAAGCAGTATATAAGTCTAAATGCTATTGCTGTAAATGATACGGCTATTGGTGTTAAGTCCTCCGGAATTACCTTGAGATGGGCTGCCATACACATTTTCTTAACATATTCTTGCACAGGAACAGGAAGTTCAAGTCAAAGCCCAAGCCCAAGAGAGGGTATAAATACCACGTTCCAGAGATGGTTTTGCTCCTGGGTCAGCCGAACCGCTAGTGGAATACAGGCCTGGGTCACAGAACCGGCAGCGACCCAGGCCTGCCACACCCCTGAACTGGTTCCCTCGCCACTGCTGGGTGGCCGCCATGTTGGTTTTTAATGACTGCGCGTGCGTAGTTCACTGTAAATTGTTCTGCGCATATGCAAAGAACAATTTACATTGAATAGGGCCCGCGTGCGTGAGTGTTGCGGGCGGGTTGTGAACCGGTAGTAAAACCAGCAGCAACCCCCCTCTGCTCCCCCCTCTCTCCACTCCATGTGGTCAGCTGCACCGGGACCATGTGCTTGATGGTTCTGCTTCGTTAAATCATCTTTCCAATCAGCGTCCATGTTTCCAGTGTCTTTTTCTCCGCTTGGAAATGAAGCAGATGGATATTTCTTCCAACAATACTGTTAGATATTAGCAACTGTTATAATGGTTTCCACCAAGGTCCTCTGTTCCGGTGGAAACAGAGATTCAATCTCATTGGTCGAAGGGTCTGACGGCTCCCTATAAAAAAGAGCGGCTGTCAGACGGAACCTTTATTGGACTGTACATACTTGTTCTGTTACAATAAAGAGCTGCTGTTGCCTAAGCCTGAGTGTGCCTTTCCATTACCCGATCTAACAAATACCTTGATGCCAAATTATGTACAAGGGGTCCTGAGCTTATGACATTTCATTTAGCGACCAAAGTTACAACAGCAGTGAAGAAAGTGAGCTATGACCATTTTTCACACTTACAACCACTGGCAGCATCCCCACGGTCCCATGATCAAAATTCAGAGGGTTGGCAATTGAATCTTATTTGTGACCACTGCAGAGTCCTGGGGTCTTGGGATCAACTTTGTCAACTGAGCTGGCGCACAACCTGGGGGCTGTCCTGAACTCACAGATCCTGCTTGAGATCATGGCTGGGGAGAGGGGCTTTGTACAGATTAATCAGGTGAGGCAATTGTGCTCTTTTCCCGAATCAGGAGGCCTTGCACGCGGGTCACTCTTGCCTGTACTGCACTGGATCACCCAGAGCAGGGGTGAGTTCCTGCCAGTTCTAACCTCTTCTATAGAAGAGGTTCCACAAATCTACAGTGCCGTTTAGAACCNTAAAAAGAATCATACAAGAATTTAAACAGTAAATTGCTCAGCTGGGTTTCCAACGAGAGATAATTAACCAAATACAAGATTCCTCTACACACTTCTAATTTTGCCTCCAGTGCAATTTCTTATGTGTGATAAGGAAGCAATGTTGTTCAAAACTATCTTTGTCTGCAATCTGGGAAATGGAATGGTTATTCCCCTATGTGTATTCTTACATGATTTATAAGGCTAGACCTAGTCCTGAAATCTTTCCCACAATCCGGACACTCATATGGTTTTTCTCCTCTGTGAGTTTTCTGGTGTTTCACCAAGTAGGAATTCTCCTGGAAACTTTTCCCACAATCTGGACACTGATAGGGTTTCTCTCCTGTGTGAGACCTCTGGTGTACCACCAGCTTGGAATTATGCTGGAAACATTTCCCACAATCTGGACATGGATATGGTTTTTCTCCTGTGTGAGTCCCCTGGTGTACCACTAGGTTAGATTTCTGACTGAAACTTTTTCCACAATACAGACACTCATATGGTTTCTCTCCTGTGTGAATTCTCTGGTGTCTCAATAGCTTAGAATTCCGAGTGAAACTTTTCCCACAATCTGGACACTCATACAGTCTTTCTCCTCTGTGAGTCTTCTGGTGCTTCATTAGTTCAGACTTGCAACTGAAACTTTCCCCACACTCTGGACACACATACAGTTTCGCATCTGTGTGAGTCTTCTGGTGTATCACCAGGTGGAAATTCCAACTGAATCTTTTCCCACATTCCAGGCACTCAAATGGTTTTTCTCCTGTGTGAGTGTTCTGGTGTTGCACCAGGTTGGAAGTCTGACTGAAACTTTTCCCACAAAACAGACACTCATATAATTTTTCTGCTCCATGAGTCCTCTGGTGTATTACCAGGTTAGAATTCCGAATGAAACTTTTATCACAATCCACACACTGATACCGTTTGTCCCCTGAGTGAGTCCTCTGGTGTACCAGCAGGTCAGAATTCTTATAGAAACTTTCCCCACAATCTACACATTTATATGGTTTCTCTCCTGTGTGAGTCCTCTGGTGTATCACCAGGTTAGAATTCCGAGTGAAACTTTTACCACAATCTACACACTTATACTGTTTGGCCCCTATGTGCGTTCTCTGGTGTACCAACAGGTGACAATGCTGACCGAAACCTTTCCCACAATCATGACATTTATATGGTTTCTCTCCTGTATGACTCCTCTGATGTTTCACCAGGGCGGAATTGCAACTAAAACCTTTCTGACAATCTGAACACTCATAGGGTTTTTCTTGTGTGTGAGACCTCTGATGTATCACCAGATCACAATTCTGAGTGAAACTTTTCTCACAGTTTGGACACTTATATGGTTTCTCTCCTGTGTGAGTCCTCTGATGTCGTACAAGGTAGGAATTTTGAATGAAACTTTTCCCACAAAATAGACACTCATATGGTTTTTCACCCGTGTGAATCCTTTTGTGTATCACTAGATCAGAATTCCATTTGAAAGCTTTTCCACAATCCGAACACTCATATGGTTTCTCTTGCGTGTGAGTCCTCTGGTGTTTCACTAGGTAAGAATTCTGACTGAAATTTTTCCCACAATCAGGACAGGTATATGGTTTCTCTCCTGTATGAGTCCTCTGATGTTTCATCAGGTCAGAATTACAATTTAAATCTTTCCCACAATCTGAACACGCATACAGTTTCTCTCCCGTATGAGTCCTCTGGTGTTTCACTAGGTAAGAATTATGACTGAAACTTTCCCCACAGTCACGACATTTATATGGTTTCTCTCCTGTGTGAGTCCTCTGATGTTTCACCAGGTCAGATTTCCGACAGAAATCTTTCCCACAATCAGGACACTCATAGGGTTTTTCTCCTGTGTGAATCCTCTGATGTTCCACCAGTAGAGAATTCCAATTGAAACCTTTCCCACAATATTGACACACATATGGATTTTCTCCTTTGTGACTCCTCTGGTGTATTTTCAGGCGACAGATCCAAGTGAAACTTTTTCCACAGTCGGAACACTTATATGGTTTCTCTGCCCCGTGAGACCTCTGGTGTATCACCAGATCAGAGTACTGTGTGAAACATTTCCCACAATCAGAACATTCAAAGTGTGTCTCCTTTGGGTAAATCCTCCTGTATCTCAGCACACTGGTGTTCATGCTTAATTTTTCATCGCATTTGAAGGACTGGTAGATTTTCTCTCCTGTATGCGTCATTCAATGAATTATGAGGAAGATTTTCTAAATAAAGCTTTTGCTGCACTGCAAACTTTTGTATCGCTTTTCACTGGGTGGATCCCCTCAGCTGTGATTAGCAATCGGTGTTTTCCCCACAATAGGCAGTCTCTGGGGTTTTTCCAACACTGATATTCTTCAATTCTTGAGGAGGCCAAAAATATTTGTGATCTTTTACTTGGAGGGATATTTTTTCTTCTAACTGACTTCCAGATATTTCCTACTTTTTCTTTATTTGTAAATTATCCTCTTTCACTTTTCATGTAATGTTTTCTTGAGTTCCAGATACTGTCTTTTTTTCCAGGTGAAAACTTTTTTTCTTTTTAATATCTGCCTTGTCCCTCATCTGCTGAGGAAGGAGAAGAGTTTTTCCATTTGCGGAGGAAGTGGAAAAGATTTTGACTGATTGCTTGTTTTTACATTTTAATGCTGCTTCTCATTCTCTTTTGTCCAAAGTGCTCTTCTTGGCATCCTCTTTATCTGTAAGATACATATTAATGTATTAAGTTTCACTTGTTTAAATATTAGTCCAGTACATGAGAGAGCAAAGAAAAAAACCCATACATTTGCATGAAAAAAAACAATCACCATCAATGACACAATTATCATATGATAACATTCTTTTTGGTTTGGACAGATCATACAAATATGCATGCATATTGATGCAGAAATAAAAACCTATGAATTTATGTTTGTAGACAATGTAAATTTATTTCAGTGTGCAAAAAGTTCCAGGAGTGCATTAGCTCAATTTTTTATATCTAATTTTAGAAAGGTGCAGACACTAACGGACGAAATGATGCCCAAAACTTATGCAAGATTTAAAACATTTGTTTTGCCCATGAAACGCCTCGCTTGCCATTAAAACAACATGCCAATTAATATCACAAGGAATCGAGTGTTACGTGAAGGATGAGGGAAGTGGGAGATTAAGAAATATGAAAACTAAAGAAAGTGTCCTAAATCTCCCAGCAGAAAATCACAGGCAACAGTTTTAAGTCGTGCGGCGTAAGGATAACAAAATTTGGGGAGAGAAAGAGTATGCAGCGGCAGCCCACATGTTTTAGCCTCGTCGCTTTCTCTGCTTCATACACCGTGGAGGAAGCCAAAGGGTCTGACTTGTTCCCCGCTTCTCCTCCGACCTGCCCTCCACTCACCTCCCAGGAACCGCTTCGACCCTCCAAACGGCACAAGAGGCTCCGCCGACACCAAAATACTCCCGTGGCTGAGCCGGTAGAGGAAGTTCCTCTGCTCTTAGCCTCAACGCTTCCACATCTTCTCTAGCAATACCGTACTCTATCGTTTCAACTCGTTTCAGACGTGGCTCCCCCTCCCCAGATTAACTCTGCCGCCGTTGTCCCGTACTAGCTTTGTAGACGGGTGTTTTGCCCCTTTGTAGAGCGCCATCTAGCGTCATAAGGCGGAAGAACATGCTCGTTCTACCCTAAGGCGTTCTCACTGATTCCGTGCTTCCTTCTGTGCCATCAAGTCCTATTCGAGTCCCACCGAGCTCATCGATAGCTTTTCTCCCTGAGGATCCATTCCCAAAACTTTTCATTCAGGTCCCCGAGACGGCAATTCATTATCCCTGGACCTGAGCCTTAAGCTTCGTTTGCTAGAAAAGGCAATCAAACCAAAGGAAAGCGCCTTTTTTGGAGAGGGGGCGGGGGAGGGGGGAAATGATGTGCAAATATTGGAAAGGGGAAAGTATACCTTCCTTTTGTTTCAGGCACTTTTTCATCGGGCAGGAAAACTCCTGGAAACTTCCTCCACAACTTGAGGAAGTTTGACCCCCTGTCTCTGCTGGGATTTTTCTTTTTTGCCCATAAAACTCACTTGCCAGGAAAACAACATGTCAATAAAACCACAAAGAATCAGGTGAAGACTGAGGGAGATGGGCCTGTCTAGGCAATATGGAAAATAAAGTTTTTTAAAATGTCCCAAGTGCCAAATTCAGAATAAAGCTGGAAGGGTCTTTATAGGTCTTCTAGCCCAACCCACTGTCCAAGCAGGAGACCCTATACCAATTTAAACAAGTGGCTGTCCCATCTTTTCTTCAAAAGCTGTTCCAATTGTTCTATTAGAAGTTTCTCCTTAATTGCAGGTTGCTTTCCCCCTTGATTAGTTTCCATCCATTGTTTCTTGTTGTGCCTCTTGGTACTTTGGAAAATAAATTGACCCCCCTCTTCTTTGTGGCAGCCCCTCAGATATTGGAAGGCTGCTATCATGTCACCCCCAGTCCTTCTTTTCTCTAGACTAGCCATACTCAAATTCAGCAAGCCTTCATGTTTTGCCTTGTTATCTTTAAATTTTAGACTCTCCCAGCAGAGAATTACAGGTAGCAGTTTGACCTTGATGAATGTAAATCACCAGGACCTGATAGCAATAGCAGTAGACTTATATACCGCTTCATAGGCCTTTCAGGCCTCTCTAAGCGGTTTACAGAGAGTCAGCATATTGCCCCCAACAATCTGGGTCCTCATTTTACCCACCTCGGAAGGATGGAAGGCTGAGTCAACCCTGAGCCGGTGAGATTTGAACCGCTGACCTGCTGATCTAGCAGTAGCCTGCAGTGCTGCATTTAACCACTGCGCCACCTTGGCTCTTGGCGCAGTGGTTAAAGATGGATTACATTCCAGAATTCTGAAGACCTGATAAATGTTATCTCAGAACCACTGTATCATATCTTTGAAAAATCTTGGAGCACTGGAGAACTACCAAAAGATTGGAAAAGAGCTGATGTATTTCCCATCTTCAAAAAATGGAGAGGGGGGGAGACACAGGAAACTACAGAACAATTTGCCTAACATCAATGCCTGGAAAGATACTAGGAAAATAATAATAATAAAAAAAACATCTGTGAACATCTAGAAACAAATAAAATTGTAACCAGTAGCCAGCACAGGTTTGTTAAAAGCAGATCATGCCAAACCAATCTTATTTCATTCTTTGACAAAGTTGTGGGTGTTTCATCACTGGAGGTTTTTAAGAAGAAACTGGACATCCACTTGTCTGAAATGGTAGAAGATCTCCAGCTTGAGCAAAGGGCTGGACTAGAGGACCTCCAAGATCCCTTACCCCTCTCTTTTGATTCTGATAAATAAAATACATTTGGGAAGAGAAAGAATAGGCTGCAGCAGATCTACTGCAAAAATCTAGCATTTCCCCCAAGTCCCAGGATAAGGCACCTACACATCAGAAGCTTGATTTGGTAACAGATCTTTGTTTGTATGCATCTGGTTTTCATATAGTTTTTTAAGTTAATTATTGCTTTGGAGGTAGCCAGAGTTTGTTACAACATGGATGGCTACATAAATATTTTAAATAAAACAGAAGGAAAAGAGATGAATGTAAAAAATTGCCCTGCTGAGGCTGTCCATCATACATTACTTTAATTATCAAATTTGTAATCTGCTAATCCTGTGGTTACGTGTTGCCGTTTAACTCCTTGCAAGGAGAAAGATTACCAGTTTTGAGCAAGAATGGCATCAGGCATGAATGTAGTTAAATAAGACCACAAGGCCTGGTTCACTTCTAATTTGAACAAAAGCTACAATCACCTTTTTGGGACTCCCTGACAATCAAAATGCCACCAATCTTGCTAGTAGTGCCCTGTATTTGCATGGCAAGTACATGTAAAAAGTGGAGCCTTTGCATATTGCCATTTGCTATATACAGTATGGGGGTTGATTAGTTTATTAGGCCAAATAAAATATTCTGTTCTACATTCCCATTCCATTCCATTCCACCCTAAAAAATATACTCACTCTGTCTCTATCTGAAGTTTCTATGATTCTTTTTATTTTTTATTTTTACTGAAATGCCGTTTTCCACTGAGGGACCATATCCATAATTTTTTCTCCAGACGATCTAGTCTATCCTTTGGGGTCTCAAAGAAACGCCCTTATTGTCAGTGCAACTCAGGCATGAAGCTTCTTTTGCAAGAACTAAAACCAAGGAACACTTTCCTTGCACCTTAGCAGAGTTGTAAAAGTAAAGCTCGCCCCTTTGTCTTGTAGGAAGTTATCACCCAGCCCTCTCCCAGAAAAATGAAATATCCTAGGAAATATTGAAAAGGCAGAATATTTCTCTGGATGTGAAAAGAANTAAAAAGAATCATACAAGAATTTAAACAGTAAATTGCTCAGCTGGGTTTCCAACGAGAGATAATTAACCAAATACAAGATTCCTCTACACACTTCAAATTTTGCCTCAAGTGCAATTTCTTATATGTGATAAGGGAGCAATGTTTTTCAAAACTATCTTTGTCTGCAATCTGGGAATTGGAATGGTTATTCTCCTATGTGTATCCTTACATGATTTATAAGGCTAGACCTAGTACTGAAATCTTTCCCACAATCCGGACACTCATATGGTTTTTCTCCTGTGTGAGTCCTCTGGTGTATCACCAGCTTGGAATTCTCCTGGAAACCTTTCCCACAATCCAGACACTGATAAGGTTTTTCTCCCGTGTGAGTCCTCTGGTGTACTACCAGCCTGGAATTATGCTGGAAACGTTTCCCACAATCTGGACACTGATATGGTTTCTCTCCTGTGTGTATCCTTACATGATTTATAAGGTTAGACCTAGTACTGAAATCTTTCCCACAATCCGGACACTCATATGGTTTTTCTCCCGTGTGAGTCCTCTGGTGCACCACCAGCCTGGAATTCTCCTGGAAACTCTTCCCACAATCCGGACACTGATAGGGTTTCTCTCCTGTGTGAGACCTCTGGTGAACCACCAGCTTGGAATTATGCTGGAAACATTTCCCACAATCTGGACACTGATATGGTTTCTCTCCTGTGTGGTTTTTCTGATGTACCTCCAGGTTAGATTTCTGACTGAAACTTTTCCCACAATACTGACATTCATACGGTTTCTCTCCTGTGTGAGTCATCTGATGTATCACCAGGTTGGAAGTTTGACTGAAACTTTTCCCACAATCCAGACACTGATATGGTTTTTCTCCTGTGTGAATCCTCTGGTGTACCACTAGCTTGCAATTCTGCTTGAAACTTTTGTCACAATCCGGACATTGATATGGTTTCTCTCCCGTGTGAATTCTCTGATGTATCACTAGCTTGGAATTATGTAGGAAACATTTCCCACAATCTGGACATTTATACGGTTTCACTGGACATTTCTCTCCTGTGTGGTTTTTCTGATGCATCACCAGGTTGGATTTCTGACTGAAACTTTTCCCACAATACAGACACTCATACGGTTTCTCTCCTGTGTGAGTCCTCTGATGTTTCACCAGGTCAGAATTGCAATTGAAACCTTTCCCACAATCTGGGCACTTGTATGGTTTCTCTCCTGTGTGTGTCCTCTGATGTTTCACCAGGTTAGAATTGCAACTGAAACCTTTCCCACAATCTGGGCACTTGCACGGTTTCTCTCCCGTGTGAGTCCTCTGGTGTATCACCAGCTTAGAATTCTTCTGGAAACTTTTCCCACAATCTGGACACTCATACGGCTTCTTTCCTGTGTGAGTCCTCTGATGTTCCCCAAGGTGGGAATTCTGCTTGAAACTTTTCCCACTATCTGGACATTCATACGGTTTCTCTATCATGTGACTCCTCTTCTGTCTCACCAAATTGGTTTGCATGCCTAATCTTTTGTCACAATCGAAGCAATGATAGAGCTTCTCTCTGGTATGAGCCCTTCCATGTATCATGAGGGAGCTGTTCCAAGAAAAAACTTTTGCCTCTCTCCAAACATTTGTATAGCTTTTGCCTGACTGGATGCTCACATACAAAATCAGCTGTGATCTGCAATCTCTCTTTTTACCACAATAGGCTGTCTGTGGGAGTTGATATTGATATTCAACATTGATATTCTTTGATATTCTTGAGGAAGCCAAAAATATTTCTGATCTCTTACCTCACACTACCCTTTCCTTCCACAAAGGCTTTAATTAATGCTTTCCAGTTTTGGCTATCCACGGAATCTTTTTCTTCCCACTGACTTCCAGGTGTTCTTGATTTAGAAATGATCCTCCTTGATGTCTCATATAATGTTTCCTTGAGTTCCAGACACTCGTTTTTTCCCAGCTCAAAACTTTCTTCTTTTTATTCACTCCCTTGTCTTTCATCTGCTGAGAAAGGGGAAGAGTTTTTACACTTTCAGGAGGAAGTGGAAATAAATGTTGATTGATGGCTTGTTTTGCGTTTTAATGCTGCTTCTCATTCTCTGTGGTCTGGAGTGCTCTTTTTGGCATCTTCTTTGTCTGTAAGATTCATACTAATGCATTAGTTTCATTATTGTTTAAAAAAAATGGATGCAGGACATGTGAAAGCAGCAAAACCCCACCCCCAAATATATGACTACGACAATATCAAAATTGTAGTTTAACCTCTAACATTATGATTCATTTAGCAGAAACAAGCCTAGTAAGATTGTAGTTCAGATATTGACTTAATTATAACATTCTTTTTTTGACTTGGATATTTCAGATATATGGACACATAGGCCCACATAAAGCCATGAATTTATGCATGATTATTTCAGTGTGTAAAGTATCCCAGAAGTGCCTTATCTAATTTTAGAAAGGTGGGGACACTTAGAGATGAAATGGTGCCCAAATCCTAATGCAAGATTT